AACCCTTGCTTGATTTACATGGGAACCCTTTAAAATCAGCCTCATAAAATGCTTTGCAGTACAGCCAGCAATAGTCCAGGCAGAGAATATCAGCAGCTTCAGGGAGCATCACCCTCCAGCTGCAGCAGATCCCACCAGGCCTCTCAGTATGAAGATACCAAGGATAAAACCAACTGCTCCATAAGGAATTTATAAACAATTCACAAGTAAATAGCTTTATCAGCGAGGAAAAGGAAGTCTTGAAAGGAATTTAGTGCTTTCCTTCCAGGGCAGGGAGGAGGAAAGGGGAGGGAAGAAATAGTTTCCATTCTGGAGTGTTTGGGGTGTTTTTTAACCTTTTGAGGATTTGTTTTCAGTAGAGCTGTTATAATCTTTTAGATGTTTTATTAAAGGTGGTTTCTGTAGGAAAGTCATACAAAATGACAGACACTGTCAGGCACAAAGGGCTGGAGTGAATGGGATCCCACCAGGCTGGCACAGTGCGTGGTGCGGAGCACATGCTCAGGCCCAGAGCGCTTCAGCGTCTGCATCAGTGGCTTGGATTGGGACTTGAAGGGCAAATATACAGCTGACCCCAAACTGGGAGGAGCTGAGCACTACCTGGAGCCAGAGAGACCTTACAGAGGGACCTTGGGATGACCTAGTGTTTGAGCCCTGGAACAGGGTTAGGTTGGATGTCAGGACAAGGTTCTTCCCCCAGAGGTGTTTGGGCACTGGAACAGGGTCAGGTTGGATGTCAAGACAAATATCCCTTTGCAACACCAAAAATCAACTACATACGCACTATTTACACTGGAATTTTATCCATACACTGGAATTTTAACTATCCGCCTTGTTTCCTAGTGCCTGTGCTTCACTGATGGCACCACCATTGCTCCCATGCCTCCAGCCCAGGACCACAAGCGACTGATGGATGGAGATGAAGGCCCCAACACAGGAGGGATGGGAGCTTATTCCCCAGCTCCACAGGTGAAAAGGGATTGATGAGGAAGGGCAGAAGGGATTGAAAGATGGGGCTACAGATGGATTGAAAGCCTGTCTGGTGCCGGAGGGAATGGGCTCCTGGGGGTGGAAAGAGCTGCCTAAAACATCCATAACCTAACAAATTTGCTTCTCGAGAGGACATTTCTCCTGAGTTCCTTTTAATCCTAAAGGTGGAAGTGTCATTTCTCCAGCCTTACGAGGGATTGGGCTATGAAATGCTGATCAGTAGAACCAAGTGCTAACACAGTTTCATTTTGTGCCAAACAAAGCTAGTGATGGATTTTTGGCTGTGGCTTGAGGTAGTTTAGTGTCTGTTTCATAGTCATCAAGGTTGGAGAAGACCTCTTAAGATCATCAAACCCAACCATTAACCTGCCAAGGAATATATTGACAAGGAACTTCTGTTTGTGAAAATAGAGAGGAAAATCCTTAGCTTTCCGTCGGATGAAACGTCTCAGAGTGCACAGGAGACCATCCGGGTGTCTTGGCTGGCTCCCAAGAAGGCAAACTCACCCCTCTGTCCTTACAAACTGTTTTCTAATCTTGTTTTGTTAGATTTCTAAGGATTTGCTGCAGAAAATCAGAGATACTGTTCTCCAGAGAACTGTGGATGGCATGAGGAAAGAAGGTGTTCCCTATTGTGGTACGTACTGAGGTTTGGGGGTTTAGTCTTAAGGAGAAACACCCTTGCTTTTTCCTGGCACTGGAGGTTAAGGGAGAAAGCCTTGATTCATGTGGAAACTGGGATTGGTGTCAGGGGAGTCCATGGGAATCAATAGGTGTCATTTCTTTAGTGGGGGATAGCTAATAATGGAAGAACAGGAGGGAAGATAAGCTGCAAAATTGTCACCATTTCTGCCTGATTTAGTTATTTAGCTCCCTTGAAGTGAGCACAGGTGACTTCATTTTGAACCCTGGGACCAACAGGCTCCACACAAATGAGCTGTGCAGCTGCTGAGGTCGTTTCTCACTGCATTTTACCTGCCAGGTGTGCTTTATGCTGGATTAATCCTCACCAAGGATGGACCTAAAGTTCTGGAGTTTAACTGCAGATTTGGTGACCCAGAATGTCAGGTGAGTTGGTTTGTAGGTAGCTACAACTTGTACGAGAGGAGGAAGATCTGGGACTATCTGCGACTGTTTTACCCAACTTTGGAGAGGTGTCCCTGCCCAGGGCAGGGGGTTGGGACTAGGTGATCTGTAAGGTCCATTCCAACCCTTAAATTCTATGATTCTATGATAATTAGTTAATTGCACTAAGATTTAAACTTTGAGGTGTTTATTCTGGTCAGAAATTGGTTTATTGCAGAGGAGATTTCAGCTCTCAAATGTGGATATACAAAGGGCAACTGGAGTGGCACTCAGCACTTCCCTGTCTTTTCTGGGGTGGGTTCTGCGTTTTTCCTCATTCCTTGTTGAAAAGTAGAACAAAACTCTTAATTTCTACTCATTTCTCTTCTTCAAAATGTTCTGTTCTTCTGAGCAAATAGGATTCTTTGTCCTCTACCTTTTCCCCTCCACATGTAACAGCTCTTACCCATAGAACTTACCCCAGGGAAGAGCATTCAGGTCTGTGTGTGTGACACCACAGTCTGAACATGCTGACTGCCGTTTTTACAGCTGCACCAGGGTCTCTTACAGGTCAGGGGAGAAAACAGCCCAGTCTGCTCCGTGCCATTTGCTGCTCTGTATTTTGTAGGTGATTCTGCCACTGCTCAGGAGTGATCTGTATGAGGTGATGCAAGCAGTCATCAGCAAGAGGTTGTCCAGTGCCATGCCAGCTTGGTCTGAGAACAGTGCAGCTGTGACTGTGGTCATGGCTAGTGAGGGCTATCCAGGGGCGTATCCCAAGGGTTTGGAAATAACAGGTAAGCAGAGCAGAACTGCAGGAGGCTCATCCCTCCCTCCACTTTCTCCTCTGCCAGATGAAGGTGACCACTGGGGCTCAGATCCACAGGAGCTGTGGGTATGGGTCAGCTGGGGCTGAGTTTTCACACATCACAGTTTATCTTGGTGTATTTCAATTCTCCACACTCCGTTGGTATTTCATATCTGCCAAAATCAAGTAGTTCTGGGCTGATCACCAACTCTCACTGAGTCTTCAGTCAACACCAGAGTCAACTTGCATCACTTGGTGCTGATGTTTTGTGGCCTGGATGTCACTGAGGCATAAACCACAGCTGGAGTTAGGTGTTGTGTCAGCTAACACCTCTTGTCTCTCCTCCAGCTGTAGCTATCCCAAATCTGTTCCTGTTTTCCAGCATGACCACACTGAACTCCATTCTGAGTCACTAAGTCCTGAGCAGATACTCACTGAGGAGGTTCTAATCTATGGCTTCTTCTGCCTTTTGCCCACACCCACAGGCCTCTCCACGGCAAAGCAGCTGGGGCTGGAGGTGTTCCACGCAGGCACAGCCCTGAAGGATGGCAGAGTGGTGACCAGTGGGGGGAGAGTCCTGACAGTGACTGCCATCAAGGAGGACCTGCCCACAGCCCTGCAGGAGGCCAACAAGGGAGTGGCAGCCATCCACTTCAGGGGGGCCATTTACAGGAGGGACATTGGCTATCGAGCCATAGCCTTCCTGAAGCAATCCAGGTAGATATTCCTAATGCTTGCCATGAAAACAGCTGCTGGGAAAGGGACCTAGAGACATCCCTGCTTGGTGTTAGTAGCTAGACAAGTTTTAACTACCACCATCCTTACAAGCAACCTCAGCAAGAGCAGCCAAGGGAGGAAGAGGTTGTTTGATGGCTTCATCCGTGTTCCTGTTCTCCCAGATCTGGGTTAAAGTCCAGGGACAAGCACACAGGAATCATTTGGGCTGTTAGATCTGGTTTGGAGAATGTGAACCTCTGTTTCTTGGGCATGAAGTCCCAGACTAGTCAGGGTTGGAAGGAACCTCTGGAGCTCACCCAGTCCAAGCCCCTGCCCAGGCAGGTCACCTAGAGCAGGTGACACAGGGACACCTCCTGGGGTGTTTGGATGCCTCCAGGCAGGGACACTCCACATCCTCCCAGGGCAGCTGTCCCAGCTCTGCACCACCATGAACAGAAGCTCTTCCTCATGCTGAGGTGGAACTTAGTGTGGTTAGTTTCTGGCCATTAGAATCCCTTTTGATTGCTGTTCAGTCAGACCTTCAGTGCAGTTTCAGGTTCCAAACTGGTGGAAAACTCCTTTCAGCTCGTCAGTGCTTGAGGAATAACTCCTGGTGCAGCTTTTGCTCTGCATTTGTGTTGTCCAGAACTCTAACATCATGAAAAGTGGTCACAGCTCCAAACCTGATAGAGCTCCAGGAGTGTTTGGCCAATGCTCTGAGGTACAGGGTGGGATTTTGGGCTGTCCTGGGCAGGGCCTGGAGTTGGATAAATTATCTTTTTTTGTCCCTTTCACCTCAGGATATTCCATGATTCTACATATGAACAGTCTGAGCTGATTTATAGGTTCTTTTTGAATTTTTGGAACTGGCTAAAATTACCCCGATACATATTTTGTTGGGATGCACATTTTACTGGAATACTGCCCAACAGCTTGGTAGAATTGAGGATTTATCTCTCCCTTTTCCTCCTTCCATTTTCATGGTGTTTAGTGCCTGGGGTCACATGGGTGTGGGGTTTTGTTTAAAGCAGTGAGTCCTGTTGCCTCTCTTAAGGTTCCTCAAAGCTCCTTGTAGGTTTTTAGGCTCATTTTTCTCTAATATGAATCAGATCTTCCTGTCCTTGGTCCAGTTAGCTCCAAACCCTTTGGCTAATGAGTTAATTTGGTTATCAGTAGCAGTTCCATTGCTGCTGACAGTGTGTCCTGCTTAGCATCTTGTAATCTTCCCATCAATAAATGTCCTAACTGAACGAGGGTCTTGGTATTTAGTCTTCTTTCTCCCTCAGGTGTGAAAACCTGGAACTGGGGTTTGCCTTGTGGTAGGAAATGCCCAGGTCAGTGTGTGAGGCAAGAGACAGGAGCAGTTCTGTCACACACTGCGCCGCAGCCAGCAGGTCTCCTGCCTGGAATGCCAGGCTGGGAGGATCCAGGGCTTGCCAGGGAGCTGTTTGCAGTCAGTGCCCTGCAGTGTGCACCAAGTTCTGCTCCTGAACTGGCAGAACAGACAAGCAGGCACATTCCAGTCACAGAATCCCATGCTGGTTTGGGCTGGGAGAGACATAATCTCCTCCAAGTCCACTCCCTGCCCCATCCAGGGAATATCCCACTAGCACAGGTTGCTCCAAGCCCATTCCACTTTGGACTCTGTGCTGTTTGGCTGTAAATTTGGGCCTCACCTCCTCTTGGGCAGCTTGGCAGGGTCAGTCCCTAATGCATTTCACCTCAGAGAAGTAGAATATTTAATAAATCCCTCAGAGAACTTAGATTCATTTAAAGCAGCAAAGCAGATAAAAAAAGCTGAACTGCTTTTAAAGAGAAGGTGAAAATGTGGTGAACGTTTGTCACGTTCACGCTACGTTTGGCCTCTGGTTGCTGCAGACCAATATTCCCTTCACAGCTGCTTGTGGTGATTGCTTCCCTCTCACCAGACTTTGAGCAGTGCTGTGAGGGCAGAAAGCTTTGTCTTTTCCTGTAGCATCACACCTGGGCCAGTTCTGATGGGATTCTAACCATGTCTTGGTCAGTGCCAGGTAACCCATCAATGATCTTCACCACAGAAATGCCTCTTGTCCTAGCACTGGCTTAAACTGCCATGCAGAGCACACAAATCATTCCTGTTTGATGAGGTTTGTAGGCATTTATGTCTGTCTTGTACTGGTTTGCACTTCAAGGATTGCATGTGGCACTCAGAGCTCTGAGACAGCTGAGAGTGGTGATGGGTCCTAGGTTGGGCTTGATGGGTTTGGAGGCCTTTTCCAGCCTCAATGATCCTGTGATCCTCGTGCTCTGATGGCATTTTCAGAATCTCTGGAACTATTCAGTCACTGCTTCTGGCAGCTCTGCATGGTGCAAAGCCACAATGTCTTCTTTCCTTGGGATGCCAATCCCTATCTCCAGGCCTAGGTGTGACATCACGTGCCAAACAGCAAAATGATTAACTTCTGAGCTCCTAAACCTGCCTGAAATGAGCTCTTAGGAATCACTTTATATGCACCAAGTCATATAATATGTTCAGGAAGAATTTCTTCCTGGAAAGGCACTGGAATGTGATGCCCAGGGAGGTGGTGGAATCACCATCCCTGGAGGTGTCCGAGGAGCTCAGGACGTGGCACTCAGAGCTCTGGGCTAGCTGAGAAGTGGTGATGGGTCCCAGGTTGGACTTGGTGATCAGGGAGGGCTTTTCCTACCTCAGTGACTCTCTGAAAGTCACTGTCTGAGTTGCTGAACCAGTTGTACTTGACAGCAGGATTGGATCCTGCCTGGTTAGTCCCCTCAGAGCCATAAGGAGGTAGATCTGATTGGAAGATGTATGTTTGTGCACTCAACAATCATTGCCATGCTGTTCTTCCCCTCCTTCCAGAGGCCTAACTTACAAAAACAGCGGGGTGGACATCGAGGCAGGGAACACTTTGGTTCAGAAGATTAAGCCTTTCGCTGCAGCCACGTCAAGGTCAGGTAAGGCTTGAACCTTCTCTTCCCTTTGGGTCACTGCATGGCAATGAGGGTTTGCAGTTGGTCCTGATAAGCTCCTGGGTCTGTGTTCTGCATATTTCTGGGTGGCACAAGAAACATCTGTGGTAAGCAGATACCTCTGATTTCCTCAAAATATTTCCTTTCCCAAATGACTCTAAATTACATCTCCTGAGTGGAGTTAGACGTGAACAAAGTCCAAGACTCTCCTGAGTGTTGGGAAGGACAGTTCAGCACTCTCAAAAATCCCTCCATTTCGAGTGAAGTTTGACTGCATGGTTATTGTTTCTCCCAAGGGGAGCTGTAAAGTGTTGGAGGTGAATTTAGAAAGGTTGTACGATGTAGAAGTCCTCAGAGATCTGTTCCCTTAGATATGCAAGACACACCTTCTGCTCAGTTAAACCAGCACCAATCCATCCCTTTCTTCGTTGGGATTCAGGCACATCTTGCCCTGTAAAGTCCTTGGAATTGTTTGGATAGACTTAAAGTGTCATTAATTTTGCTTCAGATTAGCTGAGAACCTTCTAGTAAAGCCAGATCCACAGAGAGGAATGAGAGACATACAACAGCACAATCAGCAGCAAGCTGTCACCACAGTTCTCTGTTCTCAACAGCAAGGGTGGGATGTGTAAGGCACAGCAGTCTCTGGCTGTTCAGTCACCAGGTTTGGGATTTTCAGCCTCAGCTTCACAATGACTTCAGAAGACAAAGCCAGGCTAAGCAGATTAGGAGCTCCTGTGGCTCTGTGAAGAGCCTTTCAAAGTTCCTTCTCGACAAAGCCAAATCGTGTTGATCAGTATTGGAGAGGATTTGTGTTGGAGATCCTGGAGAACTTCCTGAGAGTCCAACTGGACTTGTTTTCCCTGTTTTCTGGCTCAGGCTGCAACGCAGAGCTTGGAGGCTTCGCTGGACTCTTTGACCTGAAAGCAGCTGGTTACAGAGATCCCATCCTGGTGTCTGGAACTGATGGTGTGGGCACCAAACTCAAGGTAATGCGAATGGAGCAAAAGCAGCACATAAAGGAGAATGTTTTAACAGGAGACACCAAGTTGTCTTGTAAAATTATCCATTTGCCTACCCAAAACGAGGATAAGAAGTGATCCTGCACTTCCTCAGGCAAAGGAGCTAAATACACCTGTGGCATAAATAAGCAGAAGTTGATATTTTGCCTAAAAAAAACTCAGTGAAAGGTTAAATAGCTAATCAGGATCTGTTTCATAAAGGCCTCAAAAAGATTAGTCATGGGGAAAAACATTTCCTTACACCACTGGTATTGTGTTTGGGCCAACTGCAGCCAAACCCTTTGCAGTTCAGTCCCCTTCCAGGTGCCTTTTGGGCTTGGCAGTGGAGACAGGAGCAATTCCTGAGTAGAATGAGATCACAGAGCAACTGAAGTTGCTCCTCACAAACCACCTTGAGGGACATGACGACCTGTCGGTCGCAGATTTCCACCCCTTGCTGAGGATCCTCATGTTTCAGGTTCTCAGAGCTAACCAGGAGCTTCTCTCCATGTTTTCCAGATTGCACAGGAGTGTCAGAAGCACAACACCATCGGCCAGGACCTGGTGGCCATGTGTGTCAACGACATCCTGGCCCAGGGGGCAGAGCCTCTCTTCTTCCTCGACTACTTTGCCTGCGGCAAACTGGATGTGGAGGTGGCTCAGGGAGTCATTGCAGGCATTGCTGAGGCTTGCAGGAAAGCTGGATGTGCTCTGCTGGGTAGGGACACTGCTGGGGAGGATGGGAAAACTCCTGGGCAAGAGCTTTGCAAATGGCTTTCGTATGGTTGTTTTCCTGCTCGAATGAGGAGTCTTGGAGGAGGGAAAAATGCCACATCTGTGCTTTCAGTGAACATAATCTCTGCCCAGTGGGGAGAGATAATACCAGTTTAGGTAGGAATTTGGGCTAGATTTAATTAATTTTAGGGTAGATTTAGGTACAGATTTAGGTTGGATATCAGGACAAGGTTCTTCCCCCAGAGGTGTTTGGGCACTGAACAGCTCCCCAGGGCAGTGGTCACAGCCCCAAGGCTGACAGAGCTCCAGGAGGGTTTGGCCAATGCTCTCAGGCACAGGGGATTGTTGGGGTGTCCTGGGCAGGGCCAGGAGAACAGAGTCAGCTGTGGCTGCTCCATCCCTGGGAGTGTTCCAGGCCAGGTTGGATGGAGCTTGGAGCAGCCTGGGCTGGTGGGAGGTGTCCTTGCCCAGGGCAGGGGTGGGATGAGATGCTCCCTACATTCCCTCCCAGCCCAAACCTCCTATGACTCCATGACTCTGCAGCTAACAACCCAGGTCTGTCAATGCCTGCTGAGCTGAGAGCTCTGACTAGGGACACTCCAGCCTCACAGTTGGTTTCCCAGCAGCCCTTTTGCCTGTGTGCCACAGGAGGAGAGACGGCCGAGATGCCTGGCATGTACCCCCCAGGGGAGTATGACCTGGCTGGCTTCGCCGTGGGGGCCGTGGAGCGAGGGCAGATGCTGCCCCAGCTGGACAGGATCACTGATGGGGATGTGGTTATCGGAGTAGCTTCCTCTGGAGTTCACAGCAACGGCTACAGCCTCGTGAGGAAGATCGTGGAAAAGTCATCCTTGGACTTCTCCTCTCCTGTTGGTGCCTCTGGGGATCAGACTTTAGGTACCTCTGATTTCTTGCATTGCAGCTTGAACCTTCCAACAGCTCTTTGGTTTGTAGCTTTTCTCAGGGACTAAACAAAAAATATTCCAGTTATAACTAATTTTCATCCTTTTTCCCTGTGAATCACATGTGGAGGGAAGCACTAACTGTGTGGTAACCAGGGCAGAACATTATGTATTTCTCTGCAGAACTTTGCTCATTAGCACTCAGAAAATTGGTGTTCTGAGACTGCCTCAGTTTTATATTGATTACCAACTCTTTCTGTGTTGTAACTGGTGTTTTTTCATCCTCTCTCACCACAGGAGACCTCTTGTTAATCCCAACCAAGCTCTACAGCAAGACTCTGCTGCCTGTGCTGCGCTCGGGCCACGTCAAGGCCTACGCACACATCACTGGGGGAGGTTTGCTGGAGAACATCCCCAGAGTCCTCCCAGAGTCCTTTGGTGTCGTTTTAGGTGAGAAAAAACAAAGCTATGGAGAAATCCTTGTGTTAGTGTGGATGGATGTGGGAGCCTCTGTGCTTGAGGCCACGTCAGGTGATGCCAGGCATGTCCTGGCTTGGATCAGCCACAGCATGTGGTGAGAAAGGTTTGTGCTTGGCAGTGTTCCAGGCCAGGTTGGATGGGGCTTGGAGCAGCCTGGGCTGGTGGGAGGTGTCCCTGCCCAGGGCAGGGGGTGGGACTGGATGGGCTTTAAGGGCCTTCCAACCCAAACCTTCTGGAATTCCATGGTTCTATAGAAATAGGATAACACTGTTTTAAAGAGAACATGACAAGAAACTTCCTGTCAGTGGAATTCCTCTGTCCAGACGTATTTTTATGCTGGAACTGGGGGCAGACAGGTGACAGATTTTGCCTCTTCATACTCCAATAATTTTACCCTTTGTCTACTGGTAGTGATGTCCCCTTGTGTCTTCAATTCCCTTCAGATGCTCTGACCTGGAGGATCCCTGAAGTCTTTTGCTGGCTCCATAAGGAAGGAAACCTCTCTGAGGAGGAAATGACTCGGACATTCAACTGTGGGATCGGAGCTGTGCTGGTGGTCCAGAAGGAGATGGCTCAGCAGGTCCTCAAGGACATACAGAGACAGGAGACAGCCTGGATCATTGGGAAAGTTGTCCCCATACAAAAAGGTTGGTACTTTATGGTTTTCCTTGGAAAAAAATCCCAAAGCCCAGAGCTCAATCCCCTCACTGCTGAGTCCTCTTGGTGATCATCTGGAAATCTCCTCACTGGCACCTCCATGGCCTTTTTCAGGGGGTGTTAAAGTCCCAGTTCATTTCATTGTGTCTCCCACGGGTATTTTTCTCCTCTCACTGTTTCTCCCTTTATTTACCTGTTGTTCTGTTGTGTTTTGATGTTTTTCTTGTACATCTTCAGGCTCTGACAGCGTGCAGGTCCATAACCTGCTCCGAGCCCTGCAGGCCAACCGGTCCCTGTCTGTGCCCAGCCACATCCAAGGCAGGATCCAGGCCAACAAAGTGAAGGTTGCTGTACTCATCTCTGGGACAGGTGAGAACCACGTCCTTCACTGCAGTGTCCAGCAGAACACTGAGAGGGAAATTCAGCCTGGATGTAAAGTCCTCGCAGTCCTCCCTGTTGGCTTTGAACAGGAGGAAGGGATTTTGCCTTTGGATTCATTCCAGTCACAAATAGGATGATTTTAACCTCCCCTACAGACTCTGAGTTGCATCTGTGTCCAGTTTACCTCCACATTCTTGCACATATCCATGTTCAGGCATCCACTGAGGTGCCCTATAGGGACATATTTCACAGCTGGATCAGTATTTCCCCTTCCCATGGAGTCACTCCATGGTTTGCCATCATTCCCACTCACTCCCACCATCATTCCAATGCTATAAATTACACTTTCCAAGCACAGTTACCAGGAAATCCTTGTAGCCTTCAGCTTTCATACTCAGCTCCCAGCTAGACCAATTAAAACAGGGTTAATGTTACACTGGAGCTGTTTGGTTTGGTCTTCCCCTACACTGCTGCTTGTTTCCAGCCTCTCCAGCTGCTCCCTGTATTTATTCCCCAGGAACACCTCAGTATCCATGACTATTTTGTCATCCAGGTGTGTTTTGTCTCCCACAGGCACAAACCTGGAAGCTCTCATCAACAGCACGAAGAAAACCACCAGCTTTGCACAGATAGTCCTGGTGGTTTCCAACAAACCTGGAGTGGAGGGGCTGAGGAAAGCTGAGAGGGCTGGAATTCCTACCAAGGTGAGCATTCCCAGCTGGTCAGGCTCCAGCTGTGAGGTGATGAGTTTTGTCAGGGAAGACAAATAGGAAGCTTTGGGCTCTGACATGAACTTGTCCCCTTGGGCAAAGCACCCAACAGCAAACTCCTTCCTTGCTTAGTGCCAGTGGATCCAGTGCTGTGTTGGTTTTGTGCCAAGACAATACTGCAAATTATCCCAGAATCACTGAGGTTGGAAAAGGCCTCCAAGTCCATTGCGTTCAGCCTGGGATCCATCACCTCTTCTCAGCTAGCCCAGAGCACTGAGTGCCACGTCCTGAGTTCAGTGGAGACACCTCCAGGGGTGGTGACTCCACCACCTCCCTGGGCAGCACATCCCAGTGCCTGACAGCCCTTCCCATGGGGAAATTTCCTCCTGATGGCCAACCTGAACTTTCCCTGGCACAGCCTGAGGCTGTGTCCTTTATCTAAGAGACTGGATAGTTTAAGTTAGGTAGTGCTGCCTTCTCCCTGCTAAAATGGGGGATATGCCCTGGATGGAAAACACAGCTTTGGATTGGCCTCAAGTCCTACACTTGCAGGTTACTGAATGGTGTCCAAGTGCTGGGGCCAATACCCAAGTCCCTGTTGGTGGTCATGAGCTCTGTGGGCAGGAACACAACCTCCATGTCTGTGTCCATCACTGGGGAGCTGTTCCTCTCGCTGAGCTCCCTGTGCTCAGCCCTGTGGGTTTGGCCCTGCAGGTGATTGAGCACACAGCGTTCCCGAGCCGCTCCGAGTTCGACTCTGCCGTGGACAGAGTCCTTCAGGAAGCCTCTGTGGAGCTGATCTGCCTGGCTGGGTTCATGAGGATCCTCTCGGGGCCCTTTGTGAAGAAGTGGGAAGGTAAGGGTGATCTGTGCCTTCAGGCAAAGGCATTTTGGGGTTATCAGGACAAAGGCCAGAAATACAGAGAAGGACCAAATCTGCAGGAAGTGACTCTTCCCATCTTGTAAGGGGAAAGATGAGACAAAGGCAGAGTTTCCCCCTTCCCTCTGTGGATGTGTGAGGAAGCCAAGGGCACAGGCAGGTCTTGTGAGCTTGGATCTGTGAGAAACAGTTTCAAAACAAGGCTGGGGAGACCTGAGACCTGTGCAGAAACCTCAGGGCAGGTGAGAACTCCTCCCCTGCCAGAGGAGCTGCTTGGGGTCCATGTCAAACCACCACACAGGGCAGCTCTGGGTGGCAGGGCCTTGCCAAGCTTCTGGCCAGACACCTCAGGAGCTGCCTGGAAAGGGCTGTCAGGCACTGGGATGTGCTGCCCAGGGAGGTGGTGGAGTCACCACCCCTGGAGGTGTCCAAGGAGCTCAGGACGTGGCACTCAGTGCTCTGGACCAGCTGACAAGTGCTGATGGGTCATAGGTTGCACTTGGTGGTCTCAGAGGCCTTTTCCCACCTCAGTGACTATGCTCAAGGAAGAGAAGCAGCAGATGCTGCTGGAGGGAACAGCCACATCCATAACTCAGTCAGTGGTGACTGAAGCTATGAGCTCTGCCCATGGCATCAGCCGTCGCTGGTTGCACCTCTCACCATGCAGGAACAACAAGACTGAAGCACTTTGGGCTGGTTGGCTGCAATGCCACCAAGAGCTGTGCAAAGCTTGTTCCCAGGTGTGTTTTGTCCCTCTGTTGGCTTTCAGCACTGCCAGTAACCTCTCCCAACCTTCCAGGCAAGATCCTGAACATCCACCCGTCCCTGCTGCCGTCCTTCAAGGGTGCCAATGCCCACAGGCTGGTGCTGCAGGCAGGAGTCAGGGTCACAGGCTGCACTGTGCACTTTGTGGCTGTAAGTACCTCCCTCTCCCTCCCTGCATTCCCTAACGTTTTCACCTCGGAGCCTGCTCAGGTCACCCTTAAACCATCTCATTTTCCTTCCCTGGTTCATCCAGAGCGCTATGGATGCACCATAGGGATACTACACACTAATCTGTGCTGCAGTTTGCTGCCCCTGGAGAAGGAACTGGCAATGAAGTCTATCCAGGGGTTTAGGCTATTGCTGATTTCCTCCCTAAGCATCCCAGTGCTTCCTTCCACCCACTGGAGTGAGGAATCAAGGCCATGGGAGGCCTTGGCTAAGCCAAAATTGTTATTAAGTGAGGCCCAAACCTACACTTTGCCTTGGTTCTTGCTGTGGAGAGAAATCAAATATGTGAACAAACAAACAAAAATCCTCACTGGAAGTGGCACAAGAGATGGGATTTGTAAGGAGTGATCCAGGAACAGAGGCAAACAACCCCCAGAGACCTCAACTCCAAACAGACATGTTTTTATCAGCTCAGGGAAGATTTGTCCCACCCTGGGCAATGCTGAGTAACTCCCTCCTCTTCCACTGCAGCCACAGCCTCCCTGGGCAACCTGTGCCAGGGTCTCACCACCTGCACAGGGAAAACTACTGCCTAAAATCTAACCTAAATTTCCCTCTTTCAATTTGAACCCATTTGGCCTTGTCCTGTCCCTGCAGCTCCTAACACAGATCCCTCTGCAGCTTCCCTGGAGCCCCTTCAGCTCCTGCAGGTGCTCTGAGGTCTCCACACAACCTTCTCTGCTGCAGTCAGTCCCAACACCTCAGCACTTCTCCCATCATCCCAAACTCACCTTCCCTGTGCTGCCATCCCCCGCAGATCCTTGAGGCAGGTGGACACACTCCCATCCCACCTGGCCCCTCCTCTGCTCTCCCACCCACCCAGACCTCTGTGGCTGTTGCTTTGGCAGGAGGAAGTGGACGCTGGAGCCATCATTTTCCAGGAGGCAGTTCCGGTGAAGATTGGAGACACGGAGGAGACCCTGTCAGAGAGGGTGAAGGAGGCCGAGCACAGAGCCTTCCCTGCTGCCCTGCAGCTCGTGGCCAGTGGTGCTGTGCAGGTGGGGGAAGCTGGGAAGATCTTCTGGAAGTAAGAGCAGCACATGGATGGGACAACTCGGCCTTGATTGATGCGAACAGGTCACTAAGAGCATGGACAGTTTTCCCTTCATTAGCACCTCATGGTCTCACTCACAGGGTTAAAGGGTCAAAGGAGAAGCCAGAGGAAGCCACCAGTGGGAATGTGGGGCAGGGGATGCTCTCAGGAGGTGCAGCAGTGGCTCTGGTCTGTGCTGCCCAGCTGTAATCACCTCCCTGACCAATGTTTCGGGGCTCAGTTGCTTTCTCAACAAAGCAAAGCTCATCAGGTGGTTACAGAGATCTGAGCATCCCTGGGATTGGCTTAGGGGCATCAGTGCTGCTCCCAGCTGTGTCAGGATTCTCCTGCCACATGGGTTAGTACAGTCAGGGAAACATTCGGATGCGTTTGCTGGGATAAGTAGGTTTCCCCACACCAAGATCTGCCTGAGGCTGAGGATGTGCTCCAGAGCCGCCCCTGGATACAGAGCAGGCTGGTCTGATGGTGGCACTGACGTCCTGGTGGAGCTTCCCTGGTGGCATAATCTCCTTTGGGATTTAGAGAGTCTAATAAAGGAAAAAATGCAACCTGCAGGTATTTCCTTGGAATTCCTCTAGCAGCTGGAGGAGGAGTTTGTGCAGAGATGTACAGCCCCTGCATGCTCAGGTACCTTTGTGTGCAGGACAGTGCAGCTCCCTGGGAGCAATTCCTGCCCTTGCCCTCTGGCAGTGGGAAGCCATTCCCTGTGACCTGTCCCTCCAGCCCTTGTCCCAGGTCCCTCACCTCTGTGTACTTCTACACCTGCTGAGTTAGCTCTTGACTTTGTTTCCATTTCAATCCCAGATCCAATCTGGTTGGAAAATACCTCTGAGGTCACCAAGTCCAACCTGTGCTCTAAAAGCAGGTGAAGAGACTGAGCACAGGGAGAGGCTCTGAGCTGTTCCAAGCCTTGGGATCAGCTGGAGCTATGAGCACAATCAACATCTCTTGTATCACTTTATTGGTTACTTGGGAACATTTACTCATGCAATTCCAAGCTGTTCCACAGGAATCTACTCCACAGTTACCACAGACCAAACACAAGCTACATCTACACTGATGACTTTGCCTTGCTCCAAGCCTTCCTGTTTCTCCCAGATCCTGGAAAAATACACATTCCTTGCTCCAGGCATTGCAGGGCAAATCCAAATTTCTGTGCAGGAATAGCAGTTTACAGGAGGGAATGGAATTTCTCCATCCCTGAGTATTCAACCACAAATTGTTATAATAAAACTACTACACAGAGAGGGGAAAAATAAGGACAAATTTAGCCATTCCCACCCTGTCCTGGGCAGGGACACCTCCCACCAGGCTGCTCTGCTCCAAGCCCCATCCAACCTGGCCTGGAACACTCCCAGGGATG